CTCAAAACTTATACTGAGAAAAAATCGCTAGATGACTCGGAATCAACACAAAAAATTCATATATGTATATCGATAGATGGTTCGAATTTACCTACAATGTTAAAAGACCTTTCCCGTACTATAAATCCGTTCCAAATTCAACAATCACTCACAAATTAATCGAATGATAGTCACAGCCGCATTTTCAAAACATTGACTCCTTGAGCCTCTTTCCAAAATCGCAAATCGTTGAACCTTTATGAAATCGAATAACCGCACAAATTCCAGAACCGAACGCCTCCAAATACCTCAACAAATCTCAGAGTCTAAATAAGTACAGAAAAACGTATCTGTCGAAAAGAGCAAGGACATGAATCCCATTCTTTCAGCCCTTCTTCTTGATTCTCCGAGCCTTTGATTTCGACGATGGCCTTGCTTTCAGGGGCATTTCTGCAACCCTCTGGAGCTCCTTGCTGAGGGCACCGCACACGCTTCTTACGCTTCTTGGCAGCCTTTCCTCAGCACTGGTGGTCTGGTTGGTGCTTGAGGAAAATGACTTGGAACATGTGATGCAGGGATTGCATTTTGCCGTGTGAACGAACTTGCCCGGGTAGGCCCCAGAAGTTGCTCCATGTTTGGAGATTACTTTGAAGCGATCCTGGTGCAGCAGTCCCGTCCCGAGCCTGCGAGCAAATTGCGCAGTCTGCTTATGCTGCCCGGTTGAATCGAGTTCCGTGCGGGCTATGATTGCAACATCTCTTCAAAACTGCAATTAGCCCAGAACTTAAGGCCCGAGCCAGCTGTAAGGGCCTGTTCATGTGCGTCATCAGCCTGTGATCTGCAAGATGAATGCTAGTCATGCTCATTATATATGTATATGTATGCTTATAAACACATTTTATAGGACAGTTATGAATAAAAGCACGATAAAGGACGTGACATCATGTAAAATGTAACATCATGACAGTGCACATAGGTGGTGGTTCCAATTTCTAACCATAACTTCCGCCAACGCCTGAACCTCAAGAGCTCCCTAGAATCTGTGTCTTTCTGATTGCAGCTGCGTTGACGAGTGACTGTCTCCAAGTATTTGGAAGCTCAATTATGTGCTTGGCTTTCCTTAAGCAGGCCATGCCATTTACTTTCAATCTTACACTTTTCGGATTAACGAGCATGAACAATCTGCAGTTTTAGCGAACTGGTCTCAGGCAGGCGACATGTACATGATTGCTTTTCATGATCCTATAAGCTAATGGCTCTCGTCTTGCAATGTTCTTCACTACGTGCATCCAGCGGCTTACCTCGTGGAACTGGGGCTCTCTTCTAAGCAATTCTCCTTCGGCCTAACTGCGTTATTTCCTATCGGAGCAGGGTGCTGAAACCTCTATAGGTCTCGGTTTAAAAGTGGGGCCAATTCGTGATGTAGAGAGAGAGAGAGAGCGAGAGAGAGAGAGACAGCGAGAGAGAGAGAGAGAGAGAGGGAGAGAGGGAGAGAGGGAGAGAGAGAGAGATGGAGAGAGGGAGAGAGGGAGAGAGGGAGAGAGGGAGAGAGGGAGAGAGGGAGAGAGAGAGAGCGGGGCGGCGAGCGAGAGCAAGAATGCGTAGCAGTCCACGTGCATGATGGCGCTGTTTTCTTGCTTTGGCAGGCTAGTTTGTGTTATTGCGCACAATGGGTCAGCTTCCGTTAAGTGGCGCCAAATGAAAGGCTTCAAAAAGCTTGCCGAGGGCAAACCCCAGGATACGTCGTTGCACGGCCATACTGCTGCCTCGCCATCATCGGAAAATCCTTCCGCGACCTCACCAAGATCCAACAGGCCAAAAGGAGTGCAGTGGGCGAGAACCGTACAGGAGCCTGTCTTCACAGCTAGAGATTGCAAACGGAAATCACATGCCACGTCGGATCTTCAGCGCTTGATGTTCTGGCATTTCCACTTCACCGACAGCCTATGCTAAGCACGGCCCAAAACGCTTGCTGATGATGCACAGCCACAAATCCGAAATCCAAGTGACCGCTGACTCTACCGAACTCCCGTTCCCGCAACCTAATTCTGCAAGTGACAGTGAGAACACCCACCGTCAGCGATGCATGTAATTGTAAGGAAAGGGTGCATGCGTATGGAGGTATCTGTGTAGGTGTAGTAGGTATGCAGTCATGTTATGTCGACTTGTAACCCCATTATGTATACATCCCCATATCAACTTTCATGCCGAGCTGAAGGTTAATACACGGTTAATACAATCTCAAAAAAAAGCTTGACTGGCCCCCTGATAGTAAGGTTAATATTACCCATAAGCTGTTCCTTGTGCCGGATACTTCCTTCAACTGCAACCCACATAATGGCCATTGGCCTCATCAACAGGTTAGTGCATCCAGATGTAGCTGTGGGTTCCCATTTCAGTCTCCGAAGTTAAAAGCCATGGCATCCCCAATACTAATTACTGTTAATATAAATGCATGTAAGCCAAATACTGCCCAAACATTTGCTTCAACGATTGCGGTCATATTCATGCTAATATTGAACTACACGAAACGGATTCCATTAAAAACCGCGATCCTTGCTGTCTTCGCTCTGGTCTTCCCCAAAGGATGGCCCTGCGGTTTGTAGGGATTATACCAGCATTTATTTGTTTACCTCAACACATAGTACATGGCGCCCTTTTCTCGCTGTCAGACTTGCTGTCGGACTTGCCCGTATGCGATGCGGTATGTACATTTATGTGTCTATATACACGTAAATGTAAAGAACCAGGTTAAACCTGTACTAGGTACCAACCAACATAGTGACGAAGATCATTAGCTGACTCCTGTTTCCAAACAACATCAACCCTAACCATATCCTTGTCATTCGCCGTTATGTCAATGGTGACCGTAATATTCGCCCTGACAGCAGCCCTAAGGCCATCCATAACAAGCTTAGTACCACCCAGAATTTGACCCCGATGTTTCTTGTTTAATTTACACCTTCAGTCAGCTAGAAGACATCAAGCGGTAGCTGTGATAACCAGCTCCTTATCGACCCCAAAGTTGACCCGAATATTGTCTTGGTTACTACCCAAAATATTGTAGAGTATTCATGTTGGCGGAATCGCATCCCAGTAATAAAAAGACTCTAACCTTAAAGGCACCACTTGTTCGTGACGCGCGCAAACAAATTAAATGCACACTCCTCGCTAGAAAACCCTGGTTTTGGAGTGCATTGCCAACTTTTTGCTAGTGAAAAAAAATTGGCGTGAAAAAACCAACTTTTTCCTAGGACAAACCAAAAAACATCTTTTGGTAAACTATATGGCAAACTTCAAAAAGATGTTTTTTTGTTTTCTTTACGAAAAAGATTGGTTTCTGGTTTGAAAAACAAACTTTTTCCTGGTAAAAGATGGTTTTGGTGTGTAAAACCAGCTTTTTCCCAGGAAAAAGATGGTTTTCGGTTGAAACACCCATTTTTTCCTAGGCAAAAGATGTTGGTGTGAAAAACCAACTTTTTCCTAGGGAACACCAAAAAAACATTTTATTGAAGTCTGGCTTCATAGTTTACCAAAAGATGTTTTTTGTTCTTCCTGGGAACAATAGGTTTTCCCCTTCAAAATCAGTTTTTGAAATACCTGGTTCTTCACGTGAAAAAGTTGGTTTGTCACTCCAAAACCATCTTTTCCCCGTATAGTTTCACAAAAGATGTTTTTGTTTTTGTGTTTTTTTGGTTTTCCCTAGGAAAAAGCTGGTTTTTGTGATGAAGAATACAGTGTTGCCGTGACGTGTCTGCTCACGTCGATCCTGAACCATTTGCTTAGCGGCTGGTCTGTGATTGGAAGAGTACATGTGTTACCGTTGAGTGGTTGCTCACGTCGAACTTGAAAAAGCAGTGGCTAGCACGTTCTGTTGAAATGTGAGCTTCGTTTGGGTTGTCTTTGCGAAATACGGAATCTGGATCTGCCGTTTCAACACGGTATCTACGATACCAAACGAGGCTCGGTAGTTCTTGGGTGGTTACCATATATATATATATATATACATACTTGTATTTAGATATGTATGTATACGCAAATACAAGTTAACATACCGGTGTGCATATATACATATATATATACACAAACATATATATATATATATATATACACATACATACATACATCATAAATAGTTTCACACTCACTTCGGCTCAGGACTCTTTTTGCGCGCGAAGCACGAAGTCCTTGGTCTTTTGCACGTTTGTGCAGGGGGTGGGTGGGCGGGTCACCCTTGAGCCGAGAGCCTACGGAGGTGAAACACTACGCACGCAGCGCTAAGCTACCACGTTTCACACTCACTTCGGCTCAGGACTCTTTTTGCGCGCGAAGCACGAAGTCCTTGGTCTTTTGCACGTTTGTGCAACCTTCCCCCCTTCATATAAAAAGGGGTGTGTATGCCCCTCCACACAAAGGGGTTGTCGGTCGCGAAACGCGACACGACAAGGGCACACACGAAAGGGGGATGGCGGTTCACTTATTTGGGAACCCTTTGACCGGTGTCATGTCGGCGCGGGCCATGCAGGCTGCGGTGTTGGCAGACGCCTTCCTAGACGTCCAAAGGTATGCCAAAAAGGCGTCTGAGTTCCACCGGCCCCAGGTTCGGAGGACGTATGAGTCCATGCCCCCTGCCCACATTGCGGAGGCTCCCCCAAATCTTAGAGAATGGGGAGTGTAAGCTTGCGCCTCCTCCCCCAAGGAGGCTGCAATAGTCTGCAGGGCAGTCTGGATGTCCTGCCTTGTAAGCTCTCCGAAGAACTTTTCTTCCGGATGCGGCGGGGCTTCCGACCATTTAAGTTCAAGAAACTCTATGGTCGCCAGCACAGGGCAGACGGCCGCGTCGCTGCGAAACAAATTCCTCGTTGCGGATTCCCCTTCGGGATCCGTCTTAGAGGCTCTCACAACTATCTGCACTTCATCTGCCCTGCGGAAGGGTGGCCGGGCGAGGAACTCGCCACGGCTGTACAGCTTGACGTCTTTGACTCGAAGCCCGAGTTTCGGATTGTTGCCACCGACCAGTTCTGAAACTCGCAGGAGAAAAAAGAAACCGAGTTGCAATGCACAATTGAGCTGTCTTCCCCACAGCCCTTGTGGCAATGCCGCTTGAGCCCTCGCCAACATGTGCGGCGTGACTGGGCGCCGCTTGGTGATGGGACCTTTCCTTCTCCGGATTCCCTCGAGTGCAAGTTGCAAACGGGGAAGCGGTTTCAGTGGGTCTGGGAAGCCAAGCTGTAAGTGCACGCTTCGGATGGCTCCGAGGCGGGCTTGTGCCGTGGCAGCTGCTAGACCTTTTGAATAGGTACACCAGATAGCCGAGGAACAGCGACTCTTCTCCGGGATCGAAACAATCCACGGAGCGGAGTGCTGAAACACCACGACGTTTGGTGTATAGCTCCCACCAGCGCCAATGGCCGTCATACAACCGCTGGGTGGCTGGTGATGAGTGGTCTTTCACCAACTGTAGGCGTTCTTGCGCCCAGCGACGTGCGGGGACTACACCTGGTTCTGGCCCCTCCTCCCGGAATTTCCGTTTCGTTTCGGCAGGGGAATTCCCGCTCGGGGCGACGAGGGGATGACTGCCCCGACGCCGATGGTGTCGGGTCGTCAGGCTCGAGGTCTGCACGGGCAAGGGCTCTCCTCGCGTTTCCCGGTGTGTTTCTCGCCCCGCGAACCTGACCCTGCGCGTTCCTTCTCACTCGCCGTGAAGCCGGGCACGGAGCGCGCCACGGCAACCCGGGCCAGGTGAAGAGCAGCACGACCAACGCAGAAGCTCCCAGCAATGGCGGTCCTGCGGGGTCGCCAGGACGCTCGGTTTCTCCTGCGTTTCGGCCGCACCCTTGCAGCACGAGCAAAGCGAGAACAGCAAGGCTCCCGAGCGTCACCCTAACGAATCTCGCAGAGTTAGCCCCCAAGCGTCCGGTCGCAGGGATCTGCCCTGTTGTCGGTTGCGGGGTAGCACGGGGCTCAAGCGGGGAGCAGTCCAAGCAAGGTCGGTATGCTCGGCTCTTCCTCGCTCTCAAGTGCCCGCAATGCTCCAGAGGCAGCCTGCGGTGAGGAACCGGCGGGTCCACAGACCCCATGGCAGTCCTCTCCTTCTTCCACAAGGTCCCTTTCGGCGGCATTTGCCACGACGGGGAGCAAAGCGAGGGCAAGTAGCCCGAGGGCTCGCGTGACTGCTCGCCGATGGTTTTCGTCACGTGGCAAGGGTCGAGCTATCCAGGGTCGGTTGGGGGGAGGAGCTTTACTGGTGGCTTGCTGAGTGGGTGCGGGGCCGCCGGTTCTTGTTCCGACACCCTCGGTCGAGCATCAGGCCTAGCATCATCCCAAGCCCCAGTCCGATCCCCCCTCCGACAACGACCGGGCCTGAAACAGGCCACGGTTCCTTGTCCCAGAGAGGAGGTCTGATGGGCCCAGGCTGTGCGCTTGCTTGCTGTATGCTGCAAGCGGCTACCATTCCTAGCAGTACCATGGATTTGCTGGTTCTCTCGCCCGCTCCCCGTCGGGCACCTGCCGGGCCCGAAGCGGGCCACGGCATGGCCCCCTCGAGGTGAAGCGATTCAGAGTGAGCGTAGGGGTGGTTCTGCTCACTCTCAGTGGGGTCGTACTTGCGGGTCTTACCCTGTTTCTCGCAAAACTTAGCCCACTTGATGCTCGGACTCAGGCTTGCGCTTCTGAGCTACCGCGGCTCGCATCGGGGTGTCCAGCTCCCCAGAGCGCAGCTCCTCTTGGAAGCGCCGTAAGCTATCCTTTGCCGCCTCATTCATTTGAAAGTTGAGGTGACTGGCGGCATAGGCCT